GAGATAAGAATAACATGCTATGCTGTGTGTATGACTAACCCCTTTCCCATGTGCTTGGCCGTAGAAAAGGTCATCAATGTGCTGGCTGCCGGGCTGGACAGTGAGAACCAGGCCGCTCAGAGAATTGGAGCTGCAGCACTGTGGGCTCTGAGCCACAATTATCAGAAGGTCAGTGTCTCCACTGGGGTTACACTGAAGCTATAGTGGTGCCCCTGCCACCAAGGGCTGAGTGGGGAGGGGAGCCCAAGTCTGCTGGGCCGAACTTCCGGTGTGGGGCCCCTTCCCTTCAGTGCCGCGCCTCAGGCCCCTGACACCTCAGCCTCCTCAGTGAACCCTCCTGTCCTTTCAATTGATTTGCCAAGTTGCTGCAATGTCAGTATAGATCGCTTCCCTTCAGAATGTGCAGCAAGGAAAGATGCATCTTGAGATCAAACCTAATAACAGAGTTTCATGCAGTTATGTGATTCCCTGTTCTCTGTTCCACATGACCCTCGATGTGCTAATCAGTTCAGCTCTTGTCTGCCAGCCCCCATGGGGCTACTGTTCCTAGGGGATGGCTCACTCCAGGCAGCTGTGCACCCAGGAGCAGGGTGGGGCCAGACGAGGACGGCAGATGTCTTTGTGCCAAACCTATCCTGGCTGGCCTGACTGCAGTCCCTGTCACACCCCAGGGCCTTGGTCCTCTTGTACATGTCTGTGCATACGTGCGGTGGTGCTGCTGTCACTGTCAAGCCACCCTGTGACAGCAGAACTGCCTCATGGAGTTTTCTTGGTGACCATCTTTATGGGAGCAGGTCGCCAGGCCTTTCTACTGCAGCACCACTGACTGCTTTGGGCTTAGGACCTTTAAGTCAGCAGCTCAGTGCAGGGCACCTGAATGTTCGAGGCACTTGGTCTAAAGCCCAGGGCTTGAGGGAGGATGGAGTATGGAAAAGCACGTGGGGGAGTGGTTTGAAATGGGAAGTGGAGCAGGAGTAAATGTGAGGGGCTGGTAGGGGGCAGTAGTGAGAGATCCGCCTCCTGTCTGATGAGAAAGGGAGAAGCACCAGTGGGTGGTCCTCCCGCTGCCGTGCTGTGGTCTCCACTACCACACCCAGCTAACAGATGCGTCTGGTATCTCTAGGCTAAGGCAACATTGAAGAACCCTTCAATAAAGCGAAGAGTGGATGAAGCCTATTCCTTAGCAAAGAGAAGTAAGTTTCATTATTTAATTGATTACAGCATGGTGATGCTTAGAAGCTAAGTGACATCTCCATAAGACCACAGCAGAGTGCACTCGTAAGATTCTGGGAACTCACTGTGGCGGGGACTTGGAAACTGCTACTCATGTGGGGCCCCTCTCCTGGTCTGGCTTGGCCTGGTGGCTCTGCCGAGACGTTCAGGGCCCGAGCCGCACCCCAGCTCCTCCACAGATGGAGTCAGGTGGCTCTCCCTCATGGAAGGCCTTAGGCTGGTCGTTCATGGCACCCTCATGGATGTGTGTGGTCTGCATGTGCTGTTGATCGTGAACTTAATGGGATTTAATTACATATAAAGCCTATTTATCATGCATGCATCAGCTCCTAAGTAGTGCCAAGTTTAATAAGCTGGCCTTTATTTCCACTCTTATTTCTCTGCCCCAGCTTTCTCAGACTCAGAAGAAAGCTCTCTCAATGCCTACTACCTGCGCTGCCTGGAGAGCCTCGTGCAGTTGCTCAGCTCCTCCTGACCACCAGGAGGCGCACTTCACATCCGGAGGGTCAGCTGGTGGTGGCAGCCCTGCAGCAGGTGGTGTCCCTCCTGGCAGGCGGCTAACTGATTGCCCACTGAGTCCCTGTAAGGGGAGTCCTGGACGTTTCAAACTCTGCCCACCCAGCAGGTCTCTGAATCAGAGCTGTGGGCAGGAAGAGGATGAGCAAAGAGACCCAGGACATTCCGTGATATACACGGTTTTACCTTTTTCTATGCAATTTGTTTTGTAAAAACCCTA